GATTGGTCAACTCACCCATGACGACAGTCATGTCGCAGGCCAGCAGCTTCTCCACGATCCGCAGTCCGATGCCGCGATTGCCTCCGGTGATGACAGCAATGCGATCCGGTTGTTTATAAAGTGCTTAATGGATAATGGCGACAATTAGCGATCGTGGGATAAGCATCGGCTACCGAAATTACATACCCACTCGATCCCGTGCCTTATACTGGGCATCGTGGACGAGACCGACGATTCCGATGTACTGATACCGAAACTCAGTCTTCCACTCGAACCAGGACTTCGGGAACTCCTTGGTGGTCTTCGAGAAGAGGAACGCGCACAGCAGCAGGCCGACGAAGAAAATCCAAAACAAAGCTCCCAACATCATGCGCTCTTATCGATCCGCCGTCGTCTCTCCGGAACTCTGCAAAGGGAATACGGGTATTAATAAGCAACCGGGTCTTGTGCAGTGCAAAGTGCGCCGGCTGATAACGAAAGCCGATACTGGACTGGTTCGTCACAACCATTAGCCGGCAACATTATCAATATTGGCGGCCAAATTCGCCTCGAGTGCACTTTGCGAAACTCTTGAACTGAGTCAGCAAGATTTCACGCTCCAAGTGCCAGCGGGTACATCTGTTGGCCATATTCGTTGGGGATTCTAGGTGTGCTTACATATACATATATGTATACTTGCCAGAGATTGATTCGTCTCACGACTTAGCTGTGAATAGTCAAGCTTCCACAATTATCATGCCTTTATATTATCATGTTGGCCCAACAGTGGAGGGAAAAACACAACTCAGTTATAGGAATCAACTAACCACTGAAACAATGAATTTAATTTAAATGCTCGAACTGTTAGTGGAATGATCTTTGCTGTCAATTAAAAAGGCTTTTACAAAGCGCTCTTACTACTTACTCATTCTGATTCGACATAATAAGACAACATTTTGAGTACTGATTCGACAATTATGTGCAAAACCTCAGAATTTAAAACGGGAATCTCAAATTTATGGGTAGAAAAAAACCTATTAATAAACCTTTTAATTTTATTTATTAGTTAGTGTGTACCGAAATCGACTTGACCCCATTGGCCGTCGAACAGCCTGAGTTGTTGCCCCTTCCCCTGAGTTTCGTCGTGTTTGCCCAGCAATTTCGAGCGTTCGCTAGCCGGGCTTATAAAGCTAATGCGACTGTTTGACCACCGATATTTGCAATGCATCCACCTGCACTTTGAACGTTGCACTCGAATACTACTTTCTGACCGGGCGGGGGAGCAATTAAATTAATTAGACGGTAGATAGTCGGGCGAGATTATTAGGAGACAGCGGGAGAACTGGCCAAGGTGTGCTCGTAAAATGCAAATTAAAAACCCAAACAGCGGCGGAATGAAAGTTGAAGAACCGAGCTTAGAGCCAAAGCCAATAAACGGGGCCAAAATAGTGAATTTGGGGCCAGAGCTGAAAATGACTGAGGCGCTAAACAGCAACAACTGGGGTCGGTTTCTTCGGGCTCTTCTTGAGGAGAAGCGCGGAAATATTGTACGGGCGACCTAGCAAAGAACACTGAGAAAAACTCTTTGGCATTGGTGTTAAATATAAAAATAACATAAAAGTGTGTGGCAGCTTTAAGGACTTTTAAGCGAATGCGTTTTCTGGGTTGTACGTGTTTTAGAAAATTAAGTAATTCAATTGAATTATTCTTTTGTTCGAATATACTGCTGATTAGAAAAGGCAGTGCGCTTTCCATGGACTTCTCATCTTTCACCGAGTGTGGTCAGATTTTTTCTGCGTGTACGCATGACACCACGAACGTGCTGCCAAGAGTTTCGACTTCCGTCAACAAAACGCAAAAGCTTAGCAGTTTTACCGTGGTTGCTGTCGTAGCCGCGGTCGTTTTTAATTTGGCTGCATATGGTTAACTTTCTTTTTCTATTGTTGTTGCCCTTGCAGAGGGTTTTTCGAATTTACCTTCAAGTTGGCTGTCGCAGGCGAAAATGCACCTGTGCCTCGATTTCTATGCTAATATTGACACCCTTTTTCAATTAAAGGCTGTGGCGGAGCTTCCTCGTCGCTGGGTTTTCTATCACTTTTTCGAATAAGATCAATCGCTGGCGTTCGAAAACCGGTTTTTCCAGCGGGCCCTTATATTTGCCACAACCGCTTCGCGAGAAATTCAAAAGCGAACTGAACGTTAGCTTTTAATTGCGCGCCTTTCCGCCAAGAACTTGATCAACTATTGTTGTTGTTTTGTTTCGGCTTGTTGCCGTTGGTCAACAGGTGAATTTTACCCACTTGCCGGCTGATGGCGCAGCAAAACAGCTGATTTTGTACAATAAGTTGGTTATGCAACGACTGGGCGGGGTGGACGGTGTGTTTTTACCTTTGCGTGCACTCACAAAATCGCTGATTTGAAACTATTTAATTGTTATAACTGCAGACGAGCGAAAAATCAAGTTGGATATACATCGATGGCACCAGGGCTGCACTTTCTGTGTTTCAATATCGATTCATTCTGTGAGTATCGATATTTGTCGTCAAATACACTTCGTTCACTTTAATTTGACTTTATTGATTGGTTGTTCGTAAAGAACTAAATGTTTTCAAGCAAATGTGTTAAATAAGAATTTCACAGACGCGGATAGCGAAGGCAAAAAATACCAAAAAATGGCACTAAGCTTAGTAACATTACATGGCCATTAACATTTTGTGTTAATACACTGTTGTCAAACTTATCGATAGCAATGCCATGAAAAATCGAAATTTAAATTTAAAGCCATTAAAGTTAAATTGAAATATGTCATTATGCGAGTCATTTGTGAAAACTAACCCCCAACAAGCAGCTGTTTTTCTTTTGCTAGCTGATTTATTTATTGAACCGAAATAGTACAGTGCATTTAAGTGTTTAAACGGAAATATGTTCGTATAACAATTACAATTTATGTTTTGCCTTGATACCAGTTATAACTAATTTTGCCTTTATATAGTTGCGCATAAGTATATACTTAGTTTGAAATTAAGAGAACCTAAGCGAAACATTGAAGTCTAGGCCTTGCGCTTTCTTTAAATATTTGTAATAAAATTTCGTTTCGCTTTCGATTAAATCATTCAGTTGGGATTACCATATAGAGCGTGTTGTCGTGTGTATAGGTGAATACATATTTTGAAATATATACTAGACTAAATTGAATATATACTTGAATCGTGTGTGCTGGTGTAAGAGGTGCCTATTTGCTACTGAAAAGAATATTACTGTGGAAAGAACAAAGTATTCAAAAGGGTCAACGGTTCGGAACTCTAAGTTGCAGCTGCGTTGTCAGTGTCTTTTATCGCCTGTTTCTCCATCTTCGTTTCCGTTTCCGTAGCAGCGACATCCTTAGGCTCCTTTAACTGTCAATTCTCCACGGACATGTTGCCGATGTCATCGTTTATGGCCAGCACCTGGCTGATGAAGCTCTGGTCGGTGACCACCTCGGCCAGGGATTTGCACAGTTCGGTCAACTCCGGCAGCGGCATCTTCAACTGCGGCGCCAGCCTGCTGAGATGTTGACCCACATAGTCCGGCAGCTGGAAGGGTGATAATAAAACCCGGGTTAGCAACACCTCTCCAATAGTGTGGTCTCCAGTGAGTGGTGCTTACCTTTCCCTTGCCCACTTTGAACGCGTTGAACATCAGCTTCGTGCGCACTCGCTGCTCATTGGGGCCGTCGTAGAAGATGGTGAGGTAGGCCTCCTGGCCATTGGCCACCAAGGGGAAGTAGATACCCGCATAGACCTGACCCTTGGCGTCTCGGGAGAGCAGCGACCGGAAGTTGTACACCAGGTTGCGGCGCACGGTCACATCGATGGCCGTAATGTACTCCTGGGCCACGTAGATCAGCGACGTCTTGTAGCTGGTATCCTCGCCTCGGATCTCGCGCTCCTTCCACTCCACAAACTTGCCATTCTGCTGACTGTACGCATAGCAATAATCGCGCTGCAGATGCGGCTCCTTGGATTGGGTGAACCAGCCTGGAAACATATTGGGGCCATGAGTATACAAGAAATTAGGGTATTTGGAGATTGCAACTCACCAGTATGCGGATAGCTTTGATCCTGCATAACAGTCACCGCCCTGCTGACATGGTAGCCCGGGTCCAGGATCATCACACCACGTCGTTCGCCGATAGCAATGCGCATGGCCACCATGACGTGCTCCTTCTCCACACCGGCGTCCACCGAATTCAGGCCGCACTCCTCGTCCAGCTGGACGTAGTCGTTGCAGTCCATCACCTGCTCCTCGCAGGACACCACGTACAGGTAGTTGGCCAGCACCGGGAACATCTGCACCATCCTGGCCATGATCTCGAAGGCCAGAGAGACGCACATGTGATGGCGTCTGTTGATGGGCACATCGTAGAACTGGAAGAAGCTGCGCAAGTCGGAGCGACGGGTGCGCTTGAAGCTGCGATAGAAGTCGACGAAGAGATTGACCGTGTTGTAGTGCGTCTCCTCCAGCATTCGCTGCAACGTGGTCTCCACTATCCCGTTCAGCTCCTCATACTGCCAGACGTTGTCGAAGACCAGGGTGCCCTTGCCAGCGGACTCCGCGCTCGACCAGTCGGGCAGCGGCAGCGGATGACCCAGGGGCCACACTCCGTTTACCTGGTTAAAGGCCTCCAGGTCGTAGCCGTCGTCCACAATCCATTGGGCGCCGGAGATGCACTCCAGCGCAGCTGCGACGGGCTGCTGTCTGGCCAGCAGCTGCCTGATGTCGGAGTAGCGCTCCGATCTATCCACCGATGTCAGATCGGGCGAAGGCACCAGCTCATGGTCCTCGAGGTCCTCCTCCTCCTCCTCCTCCTCCTCGCTGGAGGTGGAGGGTGTGCGACGGATGGCGCCAGTGCCATGTGCAGTTGGGTGCTCAGTTGCGGATAAATCAGATCGCGTCGTAGTCAATCCCAATCCCATTCCGCGCACCACCTCATCCGCCAGCTGCTGATCCGCCGGGCGCAACGGATCCTGGGCAGCGACGACGGCAGCGGCCTCCTCATCCTCATCCGGAGAGGCCGCTCCCCCATCCCGTCGGTGACTGGCGGCAACGGCGAGTCAACTCGGCCATTCGGAGCCCCAGCGGCCCACGGTGGGCACATAGCCACTTTCGCAGTCATTGAGCGTGGCGTCTAGTTGAATGTTGGCGAACTGTTGTTGGCTTGAATGCAGTGATGGTTGGTGGGCAGCTTGGCCAGCCTGGGCGGCTCCAGCTCCAGCACTGATCAGACTAATCCGGCCCTGCGCTCGCTTGAACAGGAGGTCCGGCTCGTCTCCAAATTTCGTCGTTGGTTTAGACTGATCTGCATTTTTGTTGAAACAAACAATCTTTTAGAAGGTGCATTTTTGAAAACTAAACCTAACAACTGACTGTACTAATAATGAACTGCAGGTGCCTAGATAGTTTATGCTATAATTTATAATTTATATGGTTGGTATTTTCTGACTTCCAACGATTCCTCTTTCTACACCGCGATAATCTACGTTCCATATGCTATTATAATTAAGTATCAATTATATAAACTCGTCCGCTCCATCTGTTTTTCAAACGTGAGCGCAAGATTACGGCCAGACCCTCGCCCAGTACCCTTGATGATCCCGATGATCCCTTTACTGATTAGGAAATCCTCCTGCAATTAGCTTACATCGCTGCTCAGCAGGTAGCCGTGCCCTTATCAAAGTCAAGTCACTTGTAATTACCCCTAGGTACGCGTAACCATCGGGCTGTCTAGTGCCCAGTTTTTCGACCAGTGTGTTGTCACGAAGTCCGAGATCTACATACACTTATGTACGCAGATGTACAGTCGCTCGGCCATCGGGCAATAAACAATAACAATGACCGTACGTAAGCACTTGTTATCAGCGCGAGGCAGGATGTGGGCGGGCACTTCTAATGGGTTCCAAGTGCTGATTGCTAACTTTCGTTAGTTGCAGGCAATAAAACAAGCCAAGTACAAGGGCAGAACGGTTCTTCCCCCAGAGAGTGCCCACGTGCCAGGTGCCATAGTGAGCCATTATGCATGCGGGTGTGAAGCATGAAGTGGAGGTCAGGTCGCACAGCATGTGACATGGCATTCTGAAAAACCTCGCCTAGAGCCATGCCCATGCGCCTATCTCGTGTGTGTTGTGATTGGACATTCTGCGCTGTGAATTCGCTTTGTTTGCAATATGACTCAATGTGGAGCGCTCAGCTGCGGCTCCACATATGTGCCACATTCAAAGTACCCGCATTTGAGTTCTCAATCGCAGGCACGCGCAATTGTTGCTAATTGCACGTGAATCACCGGATGTGAGAGTGGGTTGTGAAGTTCACTCGAAGAAAAGCGAACTGCCCTTGGGTCAAGTCATTATTCGTGAATTTTTGCTTTCCCATAACAATTGTGCAAGATGAACTGATTTTCTTCTCATGAATTCTGTGTAATGTCCACACTCGAAGAAAAGCGTGCATTTTTGATTCCCATAACATTCTCGCAATGTGCTGAACTATTGTGCGAGTGTAAGATGAGGTGATTTTCTTCTTACAAGTTCTGGGTACTGAGTAATCTTCTTTGTTGCGAGTCTGGCGATATCGTTTTTCGTCTGCTCACATGTTTCCTATTAAAATACTGTGTAATATTCGCGATATTCGCTTTCCCAGATGCATTACTTAAGAATATTCTCGGCCTGCAGCCATGATCAGTATCTGTATCTATCAGCAATATTCTATAGTAGTTCCGCAAAGTGCATTTGATTACTTACCCATACAATGGCCTAAGCCCTAGTGACGAAATCCGTTTTCCTGGTAAGATCTCGGGTTTAGTTCGCTTTTCCTCTCGCAAATCTCTGTATGCTCGACGGCTTGTGTGCTACCACCGATGGAAAGTGTGGCTTAAATGGGCTGCGATTCGGTTGGTAGAATGCAACAGTTGCCTTTCAACTGTTGGTGTTTTCAATTTGGCTTTTCTACGACGCGCGTGCGTGGAAAATCGAACGGAACGGAAAACGGAAAATAAAATAAGGAGAACGCGAACTAAAAGCAAACAACTTGTTGTCTGCGCTTTTTGCCGTGACTTTGTCCTTGTTTACTCGCTTTCGTTTCTTTTTGTTTAAACAATTTGTGTGTTGTAGTTTAGTGCTGGTCGCTTTTGCCTGTTCAATGCAGGTCCGAGTTTTTCAACGATATTGGCGAATTAATCGACATCGAAGTGGATTTTGTCGACACTGGCCAGCGTTACTAGATGCACACTTGCACTGCGCTATTTTCGAACTTTTCCGATTTTCCACTGGGCTTTTCCGCTGCTTTCCGAAGGCCTGAGCTCCGCTGAGAACGAGAGACGCGTTGCGACTGATGAAAATCGCTGGCGAGTACGCCGCTATATAAACGATCTCGGCCTCTCTCTGCGTTTCTCGGCGTACCGCGCAGTCGAGGCTCTGCCGACGTCGACTGCGGTTGGAGCGAACTCGAAAATATTTCAGTTTATGACGCAAAAAAGCTTGAAAAATTCCACAAAAATGAGATAAGGGAGCCAAACTTGAACGCGATTTTTGTTTTGCTCCAGCGCTTCGCAGGTAAACAAATCGGATGTTATTGTTTGGGACGGGAACACTGCAATAAATAGAGAGAAAGTTGTTCGCATATAATAAGTATGTACATATTTATTGCACTAAGTTGTGTTGTGCTGGGGTATAATTAGCAAATCAATTCGGTCTGGCGAAAACTCATGATGAGCACCGTGATAAGCAGTCGGTCACGCAATCAGTTGATCTGCTTACTGTGATTTGGTTACCAAGCCTTATCGCACTGAGTCAACTGTTGTTTACAATCTATTTATACCGGTCCCCTTAGAACGAAGAACCTTGAATTTTGCGACCGACAGCGTGGAAAATTTGTCAGCGGAGTTGGTTTGCCACTGCCAAGTTGCCACCGCCCAGTTGTTATCACACGACTGGATGCACTTCCCAGATACTCGGGCATTCTGCAAACTATCCCCAAGTCGGATGAGGTGGGGCTTATGACTGGTTGCAGGCTACCAAGGTCGCCGGGCGGAAAAGTGGGCGGGAAAAGGGCCCTCGAAGAACGCCTGCCATTTACGTATACTCGATATTGTATGTAAATGCTTACGCGGGCTCAGGCTTTTGCAAGTGCCACAGACAAATTGGCATCCAATGGGGTGCGCCTGGTTACACGATGCAAACAGCTTGTTTACGAAAACAAAAGATTAAGTTACAGTGGACTATCAGCATAACATCAGCGCAGGACTAGATTGTGACAGGTCAAAAGAGTGCTGCTTAGATGTGATTTCATAATTACTCAAATGGTGCATAATTAGTAAAATAAATGCCATTTATACACGCTATCCACAGACTTGTATACAACTTTTTGTGTCTTTGTCTGAACAGAACCATGCACACATTATATTGCAGATTGTGGCCAGGAAGTTCTTCACTGCGGCCCTGCACTGTAATCAAAATCGTAGGCCTACGGCGCCTTTGGCAGCTGCTCGTGTGATCCCATTTTTCTAGAGGCCCCACCATGCGGAACAATGCCAAAGCTGTGGCGCTTTTCACTTGTTTTTGTTTACGTATACGTGTTGTGCCAACCAGGCCGACTGCCACGCCCCTTCGCCCTGCGTACCGCCCCTTGGCGGGTCGGTTTATATAGCGGCCATATAGTCGAGATCTGTATAACTGCGCCGTAATGAAATTCTCGCCGTGTTTGCCGAGATGTAGACAAACATTTTTGATGGTGCAATTTGAATTTAGTGTATTGCACCAGCCCAAGGTTATTCAAATATGCATGAGAACGAAACTAGAAGCACGGCAACTGCAATTCGAGGAGGCAGTTTGCATACTGTGCACTTTAATTGGGTTTATTATTTCGTGCTGGAAGAACACTCCGTTCGTTGGAGCTAAAAAGACTGCGTACATTGATAAGGAATGTGCAGATTATTCAGCTATTCTTAATGTTGTTATGCCACCCAAACATAATTCCTTATCGGAAAATGATAACGAGCACAATAATGCTCCACAGTTGTACGTCTGATCCAGCAAAAGAAGGAAACGTGGTTGCAAATCAGCAGTTCGAAATCGATACGGAGGGCGAACTGAAGATAAACTATTAAACGAATTCATAATTGTTAATTAGTTAATGAATTCGCTGCGCAAAAGAAGCTCATGGCTGTGTGGCAGACGATTTACGAGGCAGGCCAATACCAATTGGAGGCGAATGTTATTGGATGAGTTGGGTTTTATTGGATCGGAAGGCGAAGTTCGGAGGTCGAGCTGCCAGTCAGACACTGCCTTATTGGCTTAGTCCGAGTGCCTTTCTCCATTGACGTCACTGGAGAACTGTAAGCGATGGGCTGATGAAACTAGTTCAATGTCGCTGGACGACTATGACGTCACCGTTGGCAGACATTGCTCATCCGCCACGTCGGCCCGGCCAACGCAGCCGTCCCAGCCGCCTCAGCCGGCCGGCCTCTGGAATGGGAGCATGGTATCTGCTCGACCCCACTCCCACTCCCACTGCCCATCCCCATCCCATCTGCCAGCACCACTCATGACCCGAGGCCTTCCAGGAGCCACCCTGCGCCACGTGTCGCGTGTCTGGCGTGCGTGTTTGTAAACAACCGCACTCGCCTGCTGTTTTTATGGGCGAGCGCAGCCATGTCCTTTTACTATCAAAACAACAGGACGCCAGGGCGCAGGCGCTGGAAGGCTGGATGGCACATTGCACATTCCACACGGAACAGAGGCTGGAAGTCCTGGAAGGAGGAACAGGCACACAGTGCACTGCTGCCCGACACTCCAGGGCCTTCAAATGTGTATACCCAATAGTTAACATTATTAAGTAGCCTACAAATATTTGTTGGGTTCTATGAAACAGCATTAAGGCTTATGAATACCTTTCTTGTAGAAATATGAAATTGCACTATTTCTAGATGCCAAGTGGGCCTGTTATTCTGGTACACCACTGTCGTTGGGGATGCCCTGCTCTTGCGCACTTTTATTGACAATTTCTTTGTTGTCTGCCGTTGGTGTTGTTATTTGGCCCGAGTTGCCTGGTTACCACCGCTGGCGGTTGGCCAAGTGGCAAAATCAATAGAGGGAGTTGGGAGCCAGGAGAATGGAGAAGGGAGGAGGGAGAGAGGAGCCAGGAGCTCATTACCTTATTATAATTGAGGTTCGCAGGACGGCACACACATGAAATCAAACGCCGCCTGCCGAAGGGGAAATATGTAGGTGCGCCAGGAGCCTCTTAAAGCTTTTTACTCCAGTTGTAGGAACCGTTGTAGAAAAATAAAATCAATATTATCATTTTGGCGTGCATATTGAGGACAGTCATTGCACTTGGTTTCGCAACACGATTTTCCGCTCGTATTTAAGGCAATAACTTTGGATTTAGGCACCGTCAAACGATTAGTTTTTGTGCCTCTTGCGTTTGAGTGTCATTTAACTATGAGTTCGGAACTCTTGAAAACAGCTTATAACACTAAACTTTGAACGAGATGTGGGAAATCTGCGTTCTTTGGTCAACTTCACGGATTTCAAATTATTCTTATTTAATTTGCATTTAATGTGTCCATTTATTTCGAGGATGTGCTGCACAGTTCGACGTGAAAAACTCGACTGTGGCTAAGGAACTGAATCAGCAGAGCATTTCCACTTTCCAGCCCGATTTCCAATAACCTTCCAATCACCGTGTCCCGTTACGCTTTGTTGCCTGAACAGAGGAAAGTGGCAGTCTCCGTGTCCTTAGAAGTGCGTCCTGTCCTCGTCCTTTGTTGGGCAAGAACACTTTGACTGTCTTCCTTCACCCAAAAAAACAACTAACTGATAAAAATCATTATTTATTATCATAAAAACTCTACTTGACCACTTCAGTCCCTGGGGAAAATGATTAACCAACCAAATTGATTAGCCACAATTATTCATTCTGCCTAAACTTTCTTCGCAACAATTTCAAAAACTTTGAAGAACTGTTTAAAAATAAAAACAACAAATGAGCAAAAGACGTCATTGATCTGATTTAGAAAGTAAAGGATTTTAGAAATATGAAATGGGCGATAATTCCAGCAAGATGTTGTGCCAATGAGAACAATGTCAATGCGGATTTGGAGCCACGCCGCAGTCGGTCTTTCACTACAAGCAATAGCAATCCTGGCGAGCGCTGAACGAGCGACCGGCCGATCCGAAGGAACATCAGAGTACAGGTACCCATATGTGGATACTCCGTGGCCCAGGCGCCAATACAGCAGCGAGGAAAGGGATGCGATGGACCTTAGGGAAATGGCGCCTTCGGAGCCACGCTACCTTTCCGATCCAGAAGTCCTCTTCCAGCGGCTGGACGACATGGAGCAGAAGCTAGGGATTCCTGACCGAATGGCTCCTACGGGCAAGTTGAAATCTGAAAAGTATCTGGTTGGTCCTAAGAATATTGCCGCCCAGCTGTTCAAAGACAACTTACATAAATTTCCCATTGATGAGGGCGAGGATGGCCTGTATAAAGAGGAGGAGGATCCCTTCGACTCCCTGGCCAGGATGAACTTCAATGAGCAGTTGAGGGAATATAAACCCGATCGTGAGCTGAAGAGAATGCTGGGTGGCTACAGGAACAGCCATAGGGATGGAAAACCAGCAGTGGCAACAGCCAATCTCCTGGCCAAGGTGGTCAGCTCCAAGGTCGATCAGCCCAGGAAGTCTGGGACTTGTCGTGGCACCACTGGACGACCGATGTCCACCACAAAAAGCACTACGACTCATCGATCGACTGTTAGCACAACCACCCGAGGTCCCACCACTTTCTGCCTTCCGGAACCCTCATCCGAGCCTGTGCTTCCCACACCTTCACCTACACCACGTCCACCTCCTATCTCGCCTTCCTCTCCACCAACCGCGCGAAAACCTAATGGTCAGCCCAATAGGTGCTCTTCTCAAAAGCCAGGAGCCGTCAAGGTGCTGCTGGATACCATTTTGGCCACCAAACAGCTTGCCCTTTCGGTGCTCAAAAATCTGAACTACCTGGAGATGGAACTGCTGAGTCACTCACCGGACGACGACGTGTGTGCGGAGTCGGACGACCCGGTTAAAGAGAATGAAGCACCTACAAAGACGAGTGAACGTTTCTTCAAGACCGAGCCAAGGCCCCATTATCGGGTCTTCTCCTTTGGAATACGACCTGCGAGCCAGAAAGAGAGCCTGTACGATTTGGCACTGGCCAAGGAGGAGGAGCTGAAGCTGGAGGATCGGGTGTGGAAGGAGCACCAGCAGCAGATGAAGCTTAAGAGGCCCATAAAACCAAAGAGGTTTGAGGCTGCTCCGGCGAATGCTGCACGCCTGGAACCTTTCCAGGAGCCTCGACAGCCACCGAAGTCATTGAAGCCCATGGAAGATTTGCCTCCTTTCGAGCCAGAAACTTCCACCGATAACAGACGCATCAATCTGGAAGCCTTGAGCGTGGTAGTCAAACCACTGTCTACTGTTCCCAGAAAGGATTCCCCTAACTCGTTGCCGCGGGCACAAATGAATGCCATTCAATTAGAGGGCACAAGCGAGGACCAACTGCAACCAAGCCACAGTTTTCATTCGAGACCAAGGAAGAAGAAAAAACACAAGTTGTATGCCATGGAACAGCAGCCGCAGGCCAAAAGGCTACCCATTGCTGGCGTTTTTTATTAAGTCATTTGTGTAAATATTATTATAGTTCTATTCAAACATTTATTCAACATTCATATATTTTAGAAATAAAAGGTTTGAACTTTGGCGCCAACTATAAGAGCTAAGTCACTGCATGCTTATAGCTTTCGGTATTTTTATGCGACTTGCGGTATTTTCTGACATTCAGCCCTCGGTCTCACTAGGAGGCGCCGAAAATTAAGAAACGTCAAACGGAAAAGGAATTACGCTTTTATTTTATTTGTGTTTTGTTTTTGAAACGTTCGAGTTCAGTTAAAGCCTAACAGTTGCTTGTAGAACATATTACGTTAATAAAGAAAGGGCAACAGAAATCGAAGAAATAGAGAACGAAATAGTTTAATCGCGTTCGCTGTCGCTTTCCTATTCGCAGGAAAAACTGAAAAAAGTCTTATTTATGCAGTTTGCAGTGCATATCTAGCTGAGACTCGGTTCTTATTGTTTATTAGTTTTAACAGTTTGGTAAGGGTAGAAAACGTTTACTTAATACACAGTTTGCAATATCGTATAACGGCACTTTGTTTATACACACAAAAGCGGAAAATGGGCTATAATATGACTACTAAAATTTCAAATTCTTAAATATAGCCGGAAATCTAAAATTCGACACGTTGCAAAATTTTTGTCTTTCATTTCTGCTTCTGCGCCGCCGCCTTCGTCCATTTCTTTCGTGCCTCCTTTTCTCTTTATTCTTTGTCTCTTGTGCGCCTTATCTCTTCTAGCATTGTGTTTGCCAATTTCATTTTGCACACTGAAAGAAATTGTTCAACATTTTGGGAAACCCTGATTCAAACAAGCAATAAATTCTTGCAAAATAAATCAAACCCTTTCAAAAAAGGCCTTTCTTTCTAAATGAAATTAATGTACACATATATATGGAGTGGATTTGAGTGCGAAAGTAATATCATTACCTTTTATTTGCTTTGTTTGAAATACCTTATCACTATTCAAATTATTTTTTTTCGGCTCGTTTTTTTTTCTGTGCATGCCTAATTGTTGCTAATTTGGGGGTGGCGGTGGGCGCACGCATTCCACACCACTTGAATCATGCTCAATGGGTTAACCTCTCTCCGCCTCTCCCTCTCTTTGGCAGACTCGTTGACCGATCGCCATGGAACAGCAGGAGGAGGTCCTCGTGCACGTGGCCAAGGTGGTCAGGGCCCTGATCACGTCCGCAAAGCCGCCGGTCGAGCTGCGGGCAATCGTCAAGGATTACATGGACGTCGAGGGTGAGCCGATACCATTTCGCAGGCTGGGCTACTCGAATCCCCAAGAACTGCTTCAGCATACGCAGGAGTTCAACTTCAACTGCTACGGCAATCAGGTAAATGCCATGGCCCATACATCCGTTACATTTATGCAAGTATTTTAATCTTTGCCAAAATTCTTTGCGAATTATTGCATATCGCAAAAGTCAGGGAGAGAGCGGCGCTCTGCCACCCACTTGAACCGCTTTCTTCGCCACTTCGCCTGAGCTTGCTCTCTGGGTGTTTCTCTCACGTGCGCAGCTTTCGAATTGCTCTCTGTTGGCGTCAGCACAGCTGTTAGCTAAAAATAGCTAGACATTTTAGGCAGGTTAAAAAACAAGCTAAAAGTAAAGCCTGAGATATAAGATTTCTAATTTTAAGCGCTCTCAGGTTCCATTATGTTACATGGCTTCTTTTAAAAACTGTCCAGTATGACAGTAATGAATGTCATTCATTCGTGCTATGATCATAAAAACAGCTGGATTTGTCGTGAATTCCGACAGGTGAACATCGCCGCTAACTGCCGAGCTTTCCGCGAGCGGCGGCCACCGCTTTCAGTTCGATTCTCTGGCTGAACGCGTGCGGTGAGCTGCTGCTGCTGCGCTGCTACCTTACCGCTCCACTCTGTGCGACCGCTCGACGGACCGCTCCCGCCCGCTCTCTCCAACGAAAAGGGGCCGCCCGCCGTTTAAGGGGCAACGTGTCAACGGCGTCTTCTTCTTTTCATCTCCGCCGTGAAAAGTGTAAACAATGCCTCTTACTTACTCTAATTTCTTATTCGCTTGGCACTTGTATATATTAAATGCGTGCTTATTAAGCGCTTTGCTTTAATAAGTGCAACGGCAGTCAAAAACAAAAGTGTATAACGCGAAAATCGAAAAGGCCAGCAATTTAAAATTGCATGTGTCTGTGTGCGATTGCATGTTTGCATGGTGAAAGTGAACGAACGTTCGCATTTCGTATGTTTTTATTTTTTCCTCTATAAATGCCAGTCCATCTGGGCGTATTGCACTTGAACTGTGTGCAGTATTCTTGTTTGGCCGTCTGTTTCCACACCTGTGGGCGAAAGTGGGCGTCGGGTGTCTGGGCGGGCTCTTCCGGCCAACGCTTTTGCATTGTTTGCCAAATCAATAATCAGACGACCCAGGGATGCGGCACGAAGCCAACGAGTGATATTCACTTAATTGCAATTTTGTATTCTGTATCAAGCATTCCGAGCTCTCGCTCTGCACCATTATCACGTTTTGGGTTTGGGTTTGAAAACCCCCTGCCCATATCTAGATTGCAATGCTCACTACTTGGCGCTGTGACCCCATAAAGATGATTGCACCAGCGAAACAGCTCGACTCAATGTGAATCATAAACAAAAATTCAACTTGAAACCACTCGCATTTCCTAACACTTAAGTGTAAACTCACTGGGCTGAGCTGTAAAATAGCTGACTCTCCAGTTTAATGGGGCATATTGAATTTCGAAACTCAAGAGTTGTTCAAGCGGAGCAACTTTCCCCTTTCTAGAAGTGGTAAACAATATGCACAGTATAGGGTTTCCTTGTTAAGCGACAGTATCTTGAACTTATGCATTAGAACGATTTTTACCATCTTAAGTTCTCGTCCAAATACATTTTGAAATATTCCTATAACTTTAACCTTCGCTATTCACTTATGCATATTAATACTTAATTACCTTCACATCTTTCCGATAACAGGTCTTCATCACAGCGAAGTATAACGCCAAAACAGAACACATTGTGCGTATGGTACGCCAGCAGAAGGCCAGCAAGTCCAAATCAATATTGAAGCCGAAGCCAACTGCCCAGAGAGCACTAAGTCAGAAGTCCAACCACGGCCCTAACTTCAATAACCACCAAACTAGGCAGCAGAATTATCAGCAGCCGCAGGACGGGTATTGTCAGAAACAGGCACAGTATTTGCAGCCTAATTACCTTCAGCAGCAGCAACAGCAGCAGCAGCAGCAACAGTACTATCAACAGATCCAGCAGCAGTACAATCAGCAACGGGGGCGTGGGGATATTGATTGGAACCGGCAGAAGGAAGAGCAGCAGCGTCGGGAGAGGAAGGTGCAGGAGCAGGCTAAACGGAATAAAGAAATAAAGGAAGTAGATGAGCGCCTGAAGCAGGCCAAAGCCAAGCAGGAGCAAGAACTAAAGGACATCATAGAACAAGAGCTAAGGGCCAAGATCAATAAGATTGAAGAAGAGTTTGCGGAACAGCTGCAGACTTTCAAGAAAAATCAGGAACAGGAGCTCAAAAGGCTAAGGAAAGAGCTCAAGGAAAAAGATCAAGCTCTGGGTCAAAGGAAGAAGGAAGTCGAGGGGGAAGAACTGGTGCGCGTAGAGAAAAATAACTGCGATCAGGCTCGGGAGGTTACCATGCGAGCTGCAAAGTTGGATCAGGAAAAGATCCTCGTAACAATTGCCAACAACAAGGCACCAGCCATGAATGGACACGGTCCAAACTACGTTAAGTCTAACGGACAAGGCAAATACAATGACGGCAAACCACCGCTGCGTGCCATACTGGGCAACAGTGCTTCGCAGCGCCAGCAAGATACAAGCGGCGTATTCCACACCCCTGAATCCTCATTCAAACGGCCGCATCATCCGCGAGTAATGCACCCTGGTCAGCCACGCTCTACGGGCGTCTCTGTGAATCACAGACTGAAAGTGACTCCTCAATCGGATGCACGTACGCCCACGCCGTCGGGAGCGCCCATTACTCCGCCAGCTTCGCCGGAGAATGCTCAGACGACATCCGCCGCTAAGGCGACGTACAAGGAAGAAAGCCTCCGAGTGCACGGAGGTCAGGTTCCAACAGGCAAAGTCGTTACAAAGCCAAAAGCTAAGGTGCCACTTAAACTCGATCCCTCCTTCGACCCCGTCTCCACGCTCAACTTCTATTGCGAGGCAAATGACTTTGAGAAACCTGCGTACAACATATTCAACAAGCCACCGCACCTACACTGCTCTGTACGGATCGCTGGCGATGTTTACAGTAGCTATCCGCAAGAGTTCACTGATAAGGAGACTGCATGCCAACGCACAGCACAGATCGCCATCCAACGTATCCAGCATGCCGAGTCCCACCAAAAGCGCTCTGCTTGCACATTTAGCGATGCGGAGTTTATAGACGGATTGTACATGGAGCTGCGGAAGTACCCACATGGCATATTGGGTCACAAGCTGGAGGATTGGTACGGTAGCACATTCCGGCAACACCTGCCCAGTCATTGGTACGATTTGATCATCGAGTCGAATAAAATTCGCGTTGAGCACGGCATTGATCCAAGGATCATATTGTTTGCCAACGATCCTGGGTCTGGGTCATCGGAGCCGGTCCGCGTCAGCACGACCACCCTGCCACAGCTGGTGCTGCCGTGGCAGTCAAGCGAAGGAGGATCGCACGACTGGAACATGTTCATCAGCTACTGCGATTCGACCAAGCGAGTGTGGGCTCGAATGATCGATCAGATCGCAAACTTTGAGGAACTAACGAAGCATATAGGACGGCAAATGGAGTCTCCGGTTTTCCGACAAAAGGTATTCAAACCTCATGTTCAGGAAGTCTATCTGGTGGAGATTCCCGATGGCTGGAATCGTGTGCGTGTGATTTCCGTCGATGAGGAGACTTGTTCGTGCCGTTGTCACTTTGTGGACTTTGGCGATGTAGCAATGTTTCATTTTGAAGATCTGTTCCAGTGTCCACCGCAGTTCTTGGT